ATATATATATATATATATATATATATTACAGTATGTATAACTCATTACACAGATATTTGGAATTAATTTATTCTGTTTGGTCAAATACTTCTGAATGTTGACTCTTGTCCATGGCAACACAGTATAACTGACCACTCATTTGTGCTTGTGTTCTGCCCATTGTCTCTAAGATAGCCATTGGTGTGCTGATCACCATGTCAGGATTTATTTTGTGATAATGCCCTTTTGCCTCTTATATTTAATATTAAAATAATATTACCCCCCTTGGAAGTTTGCTGAGGTCCTCTAGGGGGCCGTGGCCCACAGGTTGAGAACCACTGCATTAAATGATCTAAAAGAGAGATTTATGAATAACAAACGGTTTTAGAAAATGTTGATGTGGTCATTCTGAGCGTATGTCTGTTTATTTCATTCTTTTGAAAGCTTCTTTTAGCTTGTCAAAAACTGTTAGGTCATTTGTAAGCGTTGTAAACTGGATACAATGATTGTGTGCACTTTTATGCACATAATTTACAAAACATCTAGCCACAAGAGAGATTATAATGTGCTGTGTTTCTCATAAATAAACACCTTATAATTGCAATATCAGTTTTGCATATTTTAATGAAGGAACGGTGAAATAGGCTCTTGATTGACGGGTGGAAATCTGATCCGGCGGAGGACAGTGGCAGCCAATGGGAAGCGGGGCGCCGGCTGTTTCTGAAGGGAGGCCCCTGAAGCAGCAGGCAGTGTGTGTGTGTTGACTTGAGCGCGGAGGAGAGACACGAGAGCGCTTTTCTCATTCAGTCCGGCGACACATCCATGAATGAATGCGGTGCGTTTACTGGGGTGAGTGCAAGCTTTAAGTTCTACATCACCTTCGACGCTTCAGTAAAACGTAACTAGAAACAGAAAAAAAGAGTTTCCAAAAGTCCAGTCCCTTCGGAGGATCGGCTCACCGCGTTACGCACTCACAGCACCGCAACATATTTACATTAGGACACTTGCAACTTTATCTATAAAATGTCACGGATCTGCTGCATTTAGTGTCTGTTTCCTAATAGTCAGCATGTAGTCAGTCAAATGAAAGATATATTTATGAATGGAGTCACTGAATGCGCTCGAGCGCGCAGCAGTTCATGTTCCATCTCCAATAAATCGCTTAAAGTCAGTCTCCTACTTCAAAGGGTGATCGGACGGCGCGCTCAGAGTCCACCCGCTGCAGAATGGACGGACTTTACGACCAACAAGTGCCTTTCATAAAATCTCATGTAAGTCTGATGAAGGTAAATCAGTGCTCTCCATGATTGCAAATATGTATCTTTCATATAATTGAATGATGACGAGAATCTGCGTTTTTTTAAACCGTAACGTGACAGGTCTGCCATTCGTATGTGCGTGATCCTTCACTTCAGGGAAACTTCTAGACTGATCTCGAAGACATTAATAATCATTGATAGTTTTAAATTATTGATTATAATAGCTTTAAATCTTGTTATGGCGAATCAAACTTCATATATGCCAGAATTGCTATATTTTGGGCTTTTTACCTTCCCCTATATGATACATTTAAATTGTGTTGAAACAAGGGAAATTATATATTTCACTTTTTTCTAAAAAAAAAAAAATCATATTTTCAGTTCTGCTGGTATATGTATGTATAGTTAAAAAAAATTTAATTAAGACAATACACATTTAATACAGTAATGTTATGATGGAAAGTGACAGTGTGAAGATTTAAAAAAATATATATTTTAAAATTTGTTTTATAACTTTTAAAACTAGGTATCATTAAAATGGGTCAGTTTTTGAGACTGAAAAAAAAAATCATTGTTGACTTTCTAACAAGTTGGGTTAGTAAGTCCAAGACGTATTCAACGTTTTCCTAAAAAAAAACAAAAATTGCCATCTAAATAAAAACTCCACTTAAGGGTTGATCAAGGCCATATCTTTTATTCCAGGACGTGATGAAACCCAGTTTTATATTTCATTTTTAAAGATTTCAAACAAGTCCAAAGTGCCACTAACTAAAGAATCTCTCATATATTAGCAGTAAGCATGATGTGTGAAGCTAAAGTTGTGTGTTGCATGTCTTTCAAAAGCAAACTCAACACACTCCATCTTCATTTGAGGCAATTGATCTGTTGCTTTCTGCTTAGAATCCTCAGGGAAAGACGTCCAACACGAGACCAGCGAAGGACAGGAAAAGAAAATTCATTAACTCTGACCTGGCTTTGGACACCGAGGGTAAGCACTCAGGTGTGGGTGAAAAAGACAATGTTCATTTCACGCCTTCTTAACATCTTGCAAAATGCAATATCGCTCGTTGCCACCTGCACTCGGGGCTTTAAAATCTCAATCAGCAGCACTCGCCTCGGTCTTCAGAGGGCTTTGAGACTGGAATCGAGATGCGCTGAGGGTCAAAACACATAATTAAAGCTTTGTACATGTTGTTTCGCCATCTCAAACTCTGCTGTCTTTGTTTTTAGAGTTGTTTCAAGATCTCAGTCAACTTCAGGAGACCTGGCTCGCTGAAGGTAAGCTCTGGTCTGTTTACTTCAGTCTCGCTCAAGGTTTCTCAGTGGTTGAGCGAGCTTTTGTTTCGAAGCAGAGAGAGCATGGGGAGAGATTTGGGGGAGGGGAGCAAATATGCCTCAAGTTACAGACCTAATCTGCAGTCCAATTAATGCATCTGTAGCAAAGGCACTTGGTGTGTCATGCATACATTAGTGCTTGAGAAGAGCAGGAGTCTAGGGGGAGACCGAGGAGGTTCTACTTTGAGTGTCATCACAAATTACCAGAAGAACTTGCAGTCTCGCTCACTCTCTTCTCCTCTCGTCCGCTTTTGGCAGGAGCTAAGGCAGACGAGCCACCAACACTGCCACCTCTCTCTCTCTCTCTCTCTCTCGCATGCACGCACACGCGCACACCTTCTCTCCCTCACTTCTTTCCTTTTTGTATCCCTCTCTTTCTCGCCTGATACTTCTCATATATTAAGTTCTAAGAGCTTTTTTCTCTTTTTTTGTAACTCTTTTTGTTAAAGAAATGGATTGGCGGTAGATCGCTTTCAGAGCTTCAAATTTTATCGCTTTGTTTTTTCCCCCTAACTTTTTTTTGGTTTGTTTTGGCAAATTTTTTTTTCTCATGGCAAGACATGCTGGTTGTGGTCTAACTCAAACGTGATGCTTCAGGAGTTAAGCGCGAGTGTCTTCTTCCCACCTTGCTTGCAGCACCGACCTTTAGGTTAGTAAATGGTTCATCCTTTGGTTGGTTGTTAATGTGTTTGGAAATATTTTAATGTGATATAAATGTTAAATTTCTTACAATGTAACGTTACAAAAATTAAATGGCAAACTGGCAGTTTTGATGTTAAAATTCTAAGGTTTTTTCTTTGTCTTCAAAATGTAAAATTTTATATTTCTAACAATGTTATGTTAAAAATTTCTAAATGGCAAACTGGTAATTTTGACGTCAAATAGTGTGAAGTTCTTGGTGTTGCAAAGCTTTGCAAATTTTTCTAAAAAGTTTTTTTTCTGGCTGCAAAAAATTAATGATTTTGAGAGGTTTGCAACATTTTAAAAATGTTGTTGAGGACATTTATAAATTTAGGAAAAAACTAAACTGATAATGTGCATGCAATTTTATTGTTTATCAGTCTTATTATTTGAGTTAAATAACTTTTAGTCTTCTAAAAAAAGGAATAAATATGATATATAGCTGGTGGCAATTATAATGTGATGTTTCCATTTTTAGTAGAATACAAGCTTTGTGGGATTTTATTATTGTCATAAATTAATTTAGGCTATGCAAAAGTTTAAAGTCGCAAATCATGATAGACATAACAGCCTTTGTCTGTTTATTGTAAAAAGCAGTTTGGTTGCAAATTGAGAAGAAAAAAACAAAAACAAAGTAGTTGGACAGCTGAAAGTCATGCAAAGCAGTTTGTAAAACCAATTCAAGCGCTTTGCATTTGTGAAATCCCAGCTGCCTTTCAGCCTTTGGAATGCATTTGCATGCACTTTGGACAAAAAGAGGAAATGAAGATGAGTGTGTGTCTGTTTTCTCTTAGTGATCAAACTACTATCTGGCTTGTGTGACTGAATTTTTGAATGCCACATGAAAGTCAGACTAATGCAACTTAAGTAGCTTTTTATTTAGCATCATCTCAAATAACTTCACTGAAATATGCTTTAGTACAGCTGCACTACAGGACATTGTTGTGTGTCCTGGTCACCTTTTAAAGCCAAACATCTAAAATATAAGGAAATTATCTGTTTAATATGTAAAATAGGATTTGACCATGCACCTGCATAAGGAAAGAGATTCTTAATTTTTAATAGACTGCTTTCATGTATTCTTTAATATGTTTAAAAAGGCTTGCAGTATAATTGTGGATTTTAAAATTAAAAGTACGCTTTAGAACAGATCTTGGACTTTACTGTTCTTGTCGTGAGTTTGATTATGCCAAATCCACCCCAGGGCCTCTAAAAGAATAAGACATGACTTAAATATTTTAGTGTATCCGGCAGGAAAAAAAAAGTAGTCGCTGCAGTAGATATTACAGTGAGGAGTACAATTCAACCTGTCTTACATCCATCAGCCGCAGCGCCCAAAGATTCGAGATAAATCGCAAATAGATTTAATATATGACTTCCTGTCCATTAGAACCCAAACGAAGAACTAGCGGTTTCATTTCAGAGATTTATTAGCTCAGGTAATTGAAAAGAAGGAGAAGACGTATGAGCGACGGACAGAATTTCCGGCAGCAGACTAAAGAGCTGGTGGTTCGTCATTTGACGTACATGTGTCATTTTGGCCAGAGACAGCTGACAGTCACTTATTACTTCTAGAAAACTTAAAAAAAAGACTGAAACGATCACTGAATATGTCATATCAGGATTTAGTTTATTGGATTTACTAGTAGGTTTTTTTTTATATAGTGATTTCATTGTTTTCTAGTTTGACTTTTATCTGATTTCTCTGTATCTTTTCCTCTTTGTTTGGCAGAGAAGTGATTCTGAGTCTCTTTATGTAGTTGAATTTACGCCGTTCGCCTGGCGCTGCACTTCGCGTGTTTTCTGCTCTTCTCTTTTTTTCTTTAGCTGGTGGACATGCTCCAACACCTTAGCTAGGGGTGCTGGGATCAGCTGTCCCATTCACAGGTTGACTCATTCACCCTGCTGAGAATACTGGCTGCAGCTCAGTCTTTCCCTTCCTCTCAGCTTTCCTCTCTTTAACTGATGTTTACGCTACTTTTCTGACTTTTAATGCACTTGGTCTTTCTTTCCTGTTCATTCTCATTTCCTGTTTGATTTGGAACCAGCCAGAGAAATGGCAGTGTTATTTCTTGTTGAGTTCAACCAGTAAAGACATCTGCTGCTGTTGTGCTCGACTTGCCTTTTCAAAACACTGACAAATACTGTAAAGATAAATTGGTCCTTTATGCATGCTTTATAGTTGCATGCTTTATAGTAGACTGGGGCTAGTTTTTAGTCAAGTGAATATTTTTTAGTTTTGTAGGTTTTTTTATTAATGAAAGTCAATTACTGCATATGCACACACATTTATATTTATTATTTATCTATTTCTATTTTAACCATTATTGCCCAGGAATCAAAGATACAGTTAATTGAATACATGTGGGCCTCTATGGGGTAAGTTGTCATAGAAAAACCTGCAATTAAGCATTTTTTAAGCAAAATTTACAATAAAATAAAACAGAAAAAATGTATAAAAAATAAAAAAATTAACTATTGTTTTGGCCTACAAATATTAAAATATTATAAATATTAAAGCAAATGTGAAAACCTGCCCTGACTTGACATTTATATATTAAAAAATCTATTGTATTTTAACTTTTCAGTTATAATATATCTTCATTATGCAGTTGTCTCTTGTTTGAATTAGAGTTTTGACTTAAAAACCTAAAAAGGTACTAAGATAAAAACCTTATAACAACTACTCTGAAAATAATTTGATGTTTTTTCTCAGAAATTGCTATAAAATTTCGCAAATAATTTCAAAGAAATAGCAAGTAGTGAAATTTTGAAGTATAAAGACTACTAAAATAGTATCTTGTGAAATGTACTCCAATAAAGTTTTATTTACAACTTAGAAAATTTTTATTTTACTGTGTAGCCCAGTATTATCTATATTTTTTAACAAATAAAAATTCACAAGCGGTTTTTCAGTAAAAAATTCTCCCATATTTACATCAGATATGAATGCATTACAATTTACACAGACATGAGAAAACACTCCCATTTCCAAAAAGCCGAAAAATCCAAGTAGCCGAGCAAAACTTGTTGTCTTACACAAAGCAAATGCTGATTTGTGCGTGTTGCGACTTGTTACTGTTGTTGTGAAAATGAAAATCCAGTTTTAGCACAGAGGAATAAATGTGCTAATAGCCCCGTGCAGCGAGGTCTCATGCTCTCCTCTGCCTTAGTGCGCCTTTGTGTCGAGCTGAACAAGCAATAATCAACAGAACTCTTGCAAGAGTGCAAACGCGTGTGATATAAACATGAATGTGCTTAATTGAGCTCCATATGAAGGCTTCATTATTTTAGCATTAGCTATGAGAGAGAGAAAGGTAGGGGAACGTGCTCTGTTTGGACGCCAGCCGTCGCGGCAGGTACAGGGGCATTCACCAGTGGGGATGTGTCCCAATTAGACAGTGTGAACAATAGGTGTTTTCTCGCTGCCTGGCTATCCTTATGAAGACACTGTGTAAAGCACATTTGATCACAAGGCAAGGTGTTTTTCTTTTGGTTTCCTGTTTTGTTTTATTTTTATTTTTTAATTCTCAAACTATTTTAATACACATATATCAGTGAATTATGTAGCTGGATGTCAAAGTGAACGACTGAGACACATATGGGATACGTTTCACACGCAAAAGCCTGCTTTGTCCAACAAATTAAGTTGAAATTAAATTACTGACATAATTAGAGGATATGTTTTGTCTGTTTTAAACCAATAAATGTCTTTATGGGTTGGTCTGAGAACTTCAAATCATTAGTGTTTCAATTACAGAGGATTATTGGAGGAAATTACTCATTAAAGTGATTATCAGAGTAGAGATTGTGTTAGCTCAATTTGTGGAAACCAAATTTATGTTTATTTACCTTTTTCTCTCTTTTTTTTCTTCTCCCAGCTCAAGTTCCTGACAATGATGAGCAGTTTGTTCCAGACTTTCAGAGTGAAAACTGTAAGTGTGACCTTTTTTCTTGTACTGTGACTCTTAAATGTACAAAATAGTAGCTTATATTTTTCAAAATGTAGACACACCGTAGAAAGGCCTGACTAAAAGAAGCTCAAATTTGATGAAAATTTGCAAACGCAGCTCACGTTTGCGCTCATTTATGACATGTTGTCGTTCGCTGTTGAATAAACTGAGAGAGAAAGCACGAGCGGCGTGTGTTCTCTAGGTTGTGTACCTTCTCAGCGAGTGCAGCCAGAAGCAATAGGCCTTTAAATGGGCATAGGAAGTAAAGTTGGCGCGCAGTGGTCGTGGCAGAGCCGGTGCCAGTGTCGGAAGTGGCATGGACTGAATGAGGCACAGTGAAGAGGGGGGGGGGGGGGGGGGGGGAGCACAATAATAATAGTTTTCCTTTAGTTATTTACTCAAAGGCAACTGTACAGCAGGTGCTGTTCGAAATGATTTGAATGAGATCCACCTGAAATTGGAAAGGGGGAAGAAAACACAAAAAAGAAAAACAAGAAATTACGCTACGGTGCATTAAGTGCAATAAATGGCTTTTCCACTTGGACAAGCGTCTACGGCAAACACGGTTGCTTGGTTACAGTCATCTTCCTATTGATTTGATTTTAAATTTATGACATTTCACTTGGATGTTTTATTTCGCTGGAGGAGCCAACCTGCCCTCATATTGCAGATGGCACTCATGCTGAACCAACAACCTCTGTGATAATGATGTTCTCTTCAGAGGTGCCTTGGAGATTGTCAAGCCCCATAGAAGCCTGTTCCTTCCTTGTCTTTTAATGTTTCTGAATGGAGTGTAATTGCTTTAAGGTTTATATCTGACAAGATATCAGATGGTTTCTCTTTGGTACCCTGTCGATTGTGGGATGTGAGGTGTGGAGATCTGGTAGCTGGATGGCTAGGAATAGATGTGGGGAATTGTGGGATTTTTTTTATTGTTCGATTATGGAACTATGTGAACAATTCATAGTTTTTACAAAAAACATAAAATAGTTTCTAAAAAGATATAGATTTTTTTATACATTGATATTAAGAAATTTTACTTGAGCACCCAATCAGCATATTAGAATGATTTCTGAAGGATCACGTGACACTGAAAACTGGAGTAATGATGCTGAAAATTCAGCTTTGCATCAGAGGAACAAACTACAGTTTGAAATAAAATAGAACAGTTATTTTAAATATGTAATAAATATTTCACAATATTCCAGTTTTTACTATATTAAATGCAGCCCTGGTTAGCATAAGAGACTGACCTCACACTTTTAAACAGTAGTATATATAAATTGTTTTTTTATCATATAAAAATATTATATATGTATTATAATTTATTATTATTGTTAATATTATTATATAAATTATAATTCTAACACTTTTTGTCTTATGAATACAATTTTTATCACAATTGTGCCTTTTGTGTCTTTTATATGTATTTTTGTATTATTTTGAAAAAATTGTGCATTTATTTATTTTTCATTAAAAACATGTAATTCAAAAGATATATATATATAAAAAACATAATTTCCAGCTATTTTTGAAATACCAGTTTAGCATGCATTATACAGTATGCTGCAGTCAAAAAGCTTTAGCGCTTATGTTTTTTTAATTTTCCAGCAATAAAGTCTAGCACAGTCTAATAATCTCAGTAGCCTGAAAGGCCCTCAGGAAAGACTAACTTGAACTGCTCTTGTTCCCTGGTGTCTCCAGTGCCTACGAGCAGAAGCATCCCTCGGGAATGAAGGCATCCAGCCCAGTGTCTACCCCCTGCAGCACACCCGTGTCCCCTGGCCAGCATGGGTCTCCCTCTGCTGCCCCCACACCGAAACCAGACAGGACGTACCCTCACCTCGCACCTCCGCAGCCCCTCCCTGACAGTGCTTACCCCATGGACCACAGGTACTGCCAATTATCAAAACACTTCTGACAGACAGACAGACGAAAGCTAGATAGATAGACAGACAGACAGACAGACAGACAGACGATAGATGGATGGATGGATGGATGGATGGATGGATAGATAGATAGATCATGTATGAGACTTATTCTATTCAGTATTTTGTTCAGATTTCGGCGGCAGTTGTCGGAGCCGTGTCATTCCTTTCCCTCTCCTTCGATGTCGCGGGACGGACGGCCCATGTATCACAGACAGATGTCGGAACCCAGCATCCCCTTCCCTCCTCAGGGGTTCAAGCAGGAGTATGGCGACCCCCTCTTCGAACATCCGGCCATGGTGGGGGCGCCGCTCCCCCAGACATACCCGCACTCCATGGTGATCAAACAAGAGCCTCGCGACTTCACCTACGACTCAGGTGAGTTTCGTTTCTGTCTGTTTACATGTCTGCTAATGCTGACAGAGCAGTATATTGCTTGATCTGTAACGTTTCCACAAAATATTAAGCCGCTCAACTGTTTTCAACATTGATGATAAAAGGAAATGTTTATTAAGTCAGCATATTAGAATGGTTTCTGAAGGATCATGTGACACTAAAGACTGCAGTTGTGACTGCTGAAAATTCAGCTTTGCCATCACAGGAAAAAACTGACTTTTTAAAATATATTACAATAGAAAACAGTTTAAATTCTAATAATTTTTCACAATATTGCTGTTTTTACTGTATTTTGTGCAAATCTTTCAAAAACATGAACAGACCCTAAAATAATTAAACAGAAAAATAAATAAATAGAACAGAATAAATAAGAAATGTTTTATAAAAAAAAATTAAAGCATGATTTATAATGGTATGGAGACAGTATGTACTTCTCTAAACTAACAGGAAACAGTCTGAACATCATTTTTCTTTTGTTTTCTTTTGGATACACATACAGCCAGATAGCAACTTTATTAGGGACGGGAGATTAATAGAATTAACGTGTTATTAGGAAATTTAGGTCTGATCTCATTTCCGGAGGGCCTGGCTGGAAAAGACAGGGGCCCCTAATCTCTCCCCCAGAGACCCCCAGGCTGTCGGCCCAGCTCTGGTATGAATGAAGAGGCTTTTGGTTTTCATTCATAAAAATGGAAGCAGCTGCCTGTCAAGAAAGAATGCAGCGCTGCATCTCAGCTGTTTCCTGTTGATTATGTAAATCTGTAAAACACAACCTGAGGATAATAGCAGTAATACCGGGGCCTTTTCTGTTTACTTAATGTCAAAGCAACAAATTCAAATGTATTATATTTTTAAACAAAATTAATGTTATAGACTGTTTTCAATACAAACGTTTTTTTATTATGACACACCCTGAAAATCTGTAATTAATTGGTATTTAAAATAGAGATTTTTTTTGTAGGTACATACACTTTAAATTTGACATTTTATGTTGGCATTGTTATCTATGACATTTTGTCTATTTATTATCTATAAATTAGACACACTAAAAGCTAACAAATAAAGTGATGAAGGCTTCATGTGTAAGTGATTTGTCTGCATTGGTTTACATCAGTGGAGGAGATCATTGACATGTTTTGCATCCCCTCCCAGCCATTTAGAAGCATTTGTTCTGCCTCATAAAGGAGTTTGTTTGTTGTGAGCTGTGTAAGGACTGGGCAGTCAGCGGCTAATTTAATCAGTGGTAATTTCCTCGACAGGCCCATTACTTGAATGAAACCCTGAGAGATCTTTATAGGTCCAAATGAACAGGGTTAGATGTTTTATGGAGCATTCACTTAAGCTGTCTTGCTTTGCTTTGATTGAATCACAGCTCCAACAAACAACTTGACTGACGAGGAGCACAAAGCGTCCACTGTGGTTAATCCTCACAAATCTGTTGTCCATAATGTTTTAACCTACTCTTTTGAATATGAAATTGCTGGAGGATTTTTTCAATATTACAATGTACAATTGCACAAAAGGCTGCAAACGAACAGCGCGCATCTGAAGTGTCTCTGAAGGAAATAATGCATTATTTATCGGCTTTAAGATATCGGCCAAATTTTCTTATCAGGCCGATACCGATAACAGAAAAAATGAGCCGATATGGGCCGATACCGATATGGTGGCCGATATATCGTGCATCCCTAGTTTTAACCTACTCTTTTGAATATGAAATTGCTGGAGGATTTTTAAATTTTTTTTTGCATTGCCTTACCTTAAAATGGAAAATAATAAGCAAATAAATACAATAAATACATATTGGTTTTAGTTTTTAGCCGAGCCCATGCATAATTCTTTTTCCACATTTTTAAAATGCTTTTTTTGTTTTGTTTTTCTTTTTCAGAAGTGCCTAGCTGTCACTCTGTATATCTTAGACAAGAAGGATATCTGGCCCACAATAACAGAACAGAGGGTAACTATCCACACAGAGTAATTTTATACTATTTTATTATTTAAAGTGTCTGATTTGAAGTTGTATTAAATGTTTAAAGTCAAATTATAACAATATCTCAATGTCTTTATTAAATAGGTTGTATGTTCGACAAAGTTGCAAGGCACTTCTATGACGACACTTGCGTTGTACCAGAGAAGGTTGAAGGTATGTTTTGATATTTATTTATTAATTTTTTTTTTTTATTTACTCATTTATTCATTACTCTTTCTAAAAATATCTTTGTTTATGCACAAAATATATCTTTCTTAAAAATATATTTATGTGCTGAGTTAAATATTATTTATTGAATAATAAGTTGACTCTTTACACAGATAGTAACTTGCGTTACTTATCTGAAAAAGTAACTCAGATATTCTCTTGTAAATTAAAAAGTAATGTGTTACTTTACTAGTTACTTGAAAAAAGTAATCTGATTACGTAACTTGCGTTACTTGTAATATATTACCCCCAACACTGTATATTACCATACATTAAGGTACTAATATGTACCTATTAGGGGTAAAAAAGGTACAAATATGTCCTTTTAAGGGGACTGCTCCAGGGACAAGCTGTTGTACCCCAAAAGGTACAATTCTGGCCCCTTATTTTTCTGTGTATACTGTACAGTCGTCTATAATCTTGAATACTGTATGAACCTCCAAACATGTAACATATAAAATGACAACTTTATCCACAGAAGGCTGCGCCATTCCTTTACTTTTTATTGTGAAGGCTTAAGAATTTTTTTATGCCCAGCTTCACCATGATGATGTCTTGCCCCTAGGCATTATGGGATTGGGCTATGAGATTTAACGCCTTTTATAATTTGTCCTCCCACAGGTGATATAAAGCAGGAGGCGGTGCTGTACCGTGAAGGCCCAACCTATCAGAGACGAGGCTCGCTGCAGCTCTGGCAGTTTTTGGTGGCCCTATTGGATGACCCCTCAAATTCACACTTCATTGCGTGGACAGGCCGGGGCATGGAGTTTAAACTTATTGAGCCTGAGGAGGTACTAACTAGCCTCAATATTAAATTTTTCAACCAAGGAAATGGAACATTTTATTAAGCCTTAAAACTTTTTTTTTTTCTTTTTTTTTTACTGAATATCATATTTGATACTACAGGCTTTTATGGTTCATATTTTGAGATATAAGAGAATATGGAGCTCATGGGGGAAAAACAGTTTTATTCAGAGGCCCAACTTGAGCAAGGATATGCTGCAGTTGCAGTTTTAATCATGCTGATAATATAGAGGCTTTTGAATTTTGTGGATCAAATATTATACAGTTGGCTTTATAGGGTTAAAATAATTTTAGGAGATTATATTGAATCATTATCTGATTATCGTTACTAAATTTAAAGTATCTCCACGCTATATGCAAGTTTTGATTCCTAGAGAGACTCTTCATTTGTTTGTTCAAAAGTGTTTGTAATGTCCATCCAAAAAAGGAAGTATTTCAACATGTCGACTCTCCAAAAAGTCTGAAGTGTTTGGAAAGTGCGGACAGAGGTGTGTTTGTGTAAACTATCAGCAACAGTGGAATTTGTTAGTCCTGTATATATGTGTGTGTGCGTGTACTGGCGTTGGTCCACAGGTCAGCTGTAGAGAACAGGGGAGTCATTCATGCCATCAGGTGACTGTGGGCTGTTGGGATTGGCTGGGCGGGTGCAAGGCGTGAATGAACTGCAGTAGAGTGAAAAAGGCCCACAGCGCGGGGCTCTGGGAGAGTGGTGGGAGGGAGATTTGAAAAGGAGGGGACACAGGTGGGTGGTCGTGTGGACAGGTGCAGGAACATCTGCCACGATCTGCTGTTCCTAATGAACACATCACTGACTAGAGGTATGATTACACAGCTGTGGCCAATGAGAGGACGCCGTCTTGTATTTCACCCCTGACAGGTTTTAGCTGCAGACCCGTCAATGCTTTGTTTTTGAGGGCAAGTTTAGTAATGAGTGGGTGTTAGATCTTATTTTTACATTTTGAGAGAAACTTCTACAGATTTTTATATTAAGCTCATTTGTAACAACTTAGTTATTTTGCTTCAAAGGTGGCACGGCGTTGGGGAATTCAAAAGAATCGACCTGCCATGAACTACGACAAGCTTAGCAGATCATTGCGCTACTACTATGAAAAAGGCATCATGCAAAAGGTAATGTAGGCTAACAAGCTAAACTAAATCTTCTGACACATACTGAAACTCATCATAACCTGTTTTCAAAATACTTTCCTTTTGGCATAAGTTTTCTTTTTTTTTCATAATAAGCTGCTTTTTAATTATGATGATGCTAATATGCTTATAAGAAAATGTAACGCTCAGCTACAGTGCTGAGGTCTGAATACACTATTGTTCAAAAGGATGCATGCAATTGATCAAAAGTTACAGTTAAGACATTTATATTGTTACAAAAGATGTCTATTTAAAATATATATATATATATATATATATGTGTGTGTCTGTTTGTGTGTTATATTATAAAAATAATATTTAAAATAATGATGGTTCTAATGTATTTTTTATAAAAATAATGAAGACTTGGTGGGACTTTTTTCAAAATCAATTTGAAAAAATCTTACCGACCCCAACTTTTTTTTTTTTTACAGTAGTGTAATTATAAAGTTAAAGGATAGGCTAATTTTCCAACTCGTCTAGAGTTAAACAGTTGAGTTTTACCATTTTCGAATCCATTCAGCCGATCTCCGGGTCTGGCAGTAGCACTTTTAGCTGTAGCTTAGCATAGATCATTGAATCTGATTAGACCGTTAGCATCTTGCTCAAAAATGACCAAATAGTTTCGATATTTTCCTATTTAAAACTTGACTCTTCTGTAGTTACGTCATTGCGCCTGCTGCACCCAGGCAGCAAAGTTCCTTGATTATTACACCGGAATGAGAGTATAGTTCCTAGCCATATCGGCCTAGAAAATCGCAACTTTTCATTTTCCGTCGGTCTTAGTACACAATGTAACTCTTCTGTAAAGTTTATATAGGAAAAATATAGAAACTCTTTGGTCATTTTTGAGCGAGATGCTAATGGTCTAATCAGATTCAATGATCTATGCTAAGCTACAGCTAAAAGTCCTACCGCCAGACCCGGAGATCGGCTGAATGGATTCGAAAACGGTAAAACTCAACTGTTTAACTCTAAGGGAGTTGGAAAATTAGCCTTTTTTCAAAAATAGTGGAGTGTTCCTTTAAGGATCTATTTAGCAAAATTAGGCATTTATGGTGAACAACAAAACATCAAAATTTGGACTTGAAGGTTTTGAAATTCTGGTTTTGTGACATTATTCTTCTAAAAATATATTATTTTCTCAAATTTTTGTGTAATTACTATACATGCCTTTTATGACCTCATTTTATTTGAAAACTAAAAAGTTAATAGACATGTTATTTGTGAACTTCCCAGGAATTCTTTTAATGCAAGAAATCATTAACAAGTGAATCCATTTGTAAATTAAACATTGTCCTTGCGCTGTTGAAATGTATTGTAATATTCTGGTTTCCTGACTCCCGAAGGTGGCAGGTGAAAGATACGTGTATAAGTTTGTCTGCGACCCCGAGGCTTTGTTCTCCATGGCCTTCCCTGACAATCAGCGTCCGGTGCTGAAGACCGACCTGGAGCGGCAGATCAACGAGGAAGACACTGTGCCATTGTCACACTTCGATGAGAACATGGCGTACATTCAAGAGAGCGGCTACTGCAACCCGCACCCGTACAACGAGGGCTACGTCTACTGAAAACAAAACAAACTTTCAGACTTGTCCCTCATTTCCGTCAGTCATTCCCCAGGACTAAAGAGAGCACTTTATGGACAGAGGATGATGGCAGTGTGTAAACCCACAAACGTACTGGTGTAGTTATGTTAGATGCTCCCTTAGTGTTTTTTTGTTGCGACTGAAGGGGATGGGGTGTTTCAGCATGCCGTTTTCTCACTGCAAAAGGCCAAAAGAGGGCAAATGGCCTCTCTTCGGACAGATGTTTTGAACTATTTAGACAGGTTAGTGTCTGGAGCACGTGAGTGGAAAAATCCCAAACTCTTTTACCATTGAAACTCTTGAATTGTTTGTGGAGCGCTTTGTTATTTTCGCACATTTTCACATTTGTATTCTCTACCTTGGTGTCAAACTGAGTAAATAATACAGTGTATTACAATGGAAATAAAATCCTTAAAACTCTCCATCTCAAAGTGAGCACATATCTGAACTTAACTGAGTAAATGGCCCACATTATTTCTTACCCATTCAGGGCCCATAAAGTGATTAAATACTAGCACAGTTACAACAAACGACTGATTCATGTTCTTTGTGAAGGAATTTTATATACTAATATTCAAGTTATACCCGTATATATATTCTCCTATGAATATTATGTCTTAGAGGAGGGAAGACGCAGGTAATTTTCTCAACGAACAACAGATTTTTTTCTTAATGAATCAAATAAAGACAAAAAAATAAATTCCCATGACGGCATGATTTTATAATACTAGTACATGGTGTTTCAAATACTGCTCCGATTTTTTTCTTACGATCTATTTAAATAAACATCTGTATAACAATACAGTATAATTGACACCATATTTCACTGAATATAACTTTTTGAGCAAACGCGCCTATAGATATCAAATAGTTATCTTCAGATGTGCAAGGTGCAAGCTTCACGTGTGTCTATGACATTATTCTATGAAAGTTACATTTCTACTATTAGTGACAAATTGCTTTTTTTATTAGGAAAAAAGTGGATGTTGGTCCGTTATTCGCTCCCCCATGCCATCATTGAAAATATAAAACATGTATATTCAGGTTAATGCACCTCAATGCTGCTTTTCGTGTAAATTTAGTCAAGTATGATCAGACGGCAGCTATGCCCTGCAGTACGTTCATTTTTTTTTTTTTACATTTAAAAAAATAACGTCAGTGTTTATTGAATGTAAAAAGTATATACATAATTGCAAAGGGAATGGCAATAGCTACACTTCTGTAATAAAATAGTGTTGAAATACAATTGGGTTTTTTTTGTTGTTGTTTTTGTACGCACAATGTGATTTTTGTCAATCTTGGTCTCATATTTCAATCACAAAAACAGCCAAGCAAATAAGCAGTGTTGTTCCCTAGTAAATGATTTCCTTCAGGTTCCAAATCCACAATAACTGACAAAAATAGAAGTTATTACTTGAAATGGTTGTCCAATTCAACCTTTTTTTTGTCTTTTTTTTTACTGTATTGATGCTTGCCACTGCATATTTAAATCTGGAGTTATCGATGCAGTAAATGTGGGAAAAAATATATATATATAATAATAATATACATATATATATATATATATATAGGCTATATATACACACAAACACTTTTAATTTGTTTAAATTGTTAAATTGTTTACATTTTGCTTTATCGTTTAATCTGTTGACTTTTTGAATAGTGAAATGTTACTCACAAAAAAATACCATGGTACATTTCAAAGTACCTTGGTATTACCAACATACGTTTGAGAGGTGCAGGCAAACCGCCATCCTTTATACGCTTATACAAACACTTCGTCACAACAACACACTGGTAAACAAGCTCGACAACTGTGTCCCATAATATCAAGCACACACTGGCCCAAAGCTGTGGTCAAATTTGGCTGTTAAAATGACCGTCACGGTTACCAAAAAAGCACAAATGACTGTGGTTTATTCAAACATCTCCCATTAAAATCTCATGCAAAACCTCTCGGCGCTCGAAGTATGTGGTGGAATGGTGAGGATGTGTTCTGGAAAGAGAGTTGAAAAGAGGTCAGGGGAAAAAAGGACCCATGTAAAGTTCGATAATCTCCGTACTAATCTTGTTAAACAAGTCTTTCAATGGGGTTACAGATGTCTTCTTTCTGTTATCTTGTACGCTGAATTGTTTTCAGATCTATTTGAATACTCTACGCCCAGAATAGACAGTTTTTATTCGTTTCGAGATGTACCATGTGAGCCTGCATGGAAAAACACTGATTATTTTTGCAGGTTTTATTGTCACCGCTTAGTTTGTAATCTGTGCTTCTACATTTGTGACACCACGACCCATTAAACCTCTCTAAAATGGTCTTTAACCCACTTTTACCACTTTGAGGCGATAAATCAGCTGCCAGTAAATAACTACTAGAGCCATTAGCAAAGTAGCTCCAGCAGTTTAGCTTGATTCTGTCTGTTTGCTTAGAGTCCAGCTACCTTGCTTAGCTTTACGGCAGGCTGTGTTTACTTATGGGAAATGGTTTGTGTTGTCTGAGTGGTTGTGACACACATGTTTGACAAGTGAAATGAGACCAAATGTTCTCCTTGTAGTCGAAACGTCTTAGAAGCGCTGGCTTTTAATATGGCGTGTTTACCTATGAAAACGTCTTGACTGGCTCTCAGCCTTCAGCCATCGAAAGCCGTAGCGGTGAACATAAATCATTCACGAGGTAATTCAAGGGAACAACTGCGCTGGAAACAGGGACTGATATAACGATGACCATTTAAACTGTTTACAGTCACGGAAAATAAACAGCCATTTGAAAAGTGTTAACGCTTGAGCAAATATTTAAGATGGTGAACACATTTTGTGTCTGTGATATCTCATACGCAACCCATTATAGGTGCAAGCTGTGCACATTTTAGGGCTTAAATGCTTATATTTGAAATCATTTTGAAATGGTTACAGATAAAAATATTTTGCCACTTTTCTCCATTGCATCTGTTTGCATGTATAGAAACACTCTGAACATAGACTTGATTTACACACCTTTGATAATCGCATGTAGCGTGATGATCAAAGATGGGGGTAGTTGCTGCTGACTCTGGAAAGGATCACGGTGTTGGAACAATAATTGATGCGGAGCAGAGGGCGAACTCAGGCATTGCCACCGGTTGACACCCATTACATTGTTCAGCGTTGCTCAACTTTGCAGGTTCACGGCAGATAAAAACACTCTTTTGGGAGAGATGTCTGCAAGTACGACAGTGATGAATGGCTCTTGATGTGTGCTCAGAAAGCGGTGAAATTGGGTTGTGGTGCTGTGCTATAGCTTTGGGTCACATGCATCTGTGCTGGTTATAATCAGATGCTGGTAGACGGGGG